TACATTTTAATTACTGATTTTATCTACTGTTCTGATTTTATCTACTGTTTTTTTAATCAATTTTAAATCATGCTTTTTATTTGTTTTTGTTTTTTAATGTCTCTGTAAAGCACTTTGAATCACCTTGTTTTTGAATTGTGCTATATAAATAAACTTGCCTTACTGCAACAAAGAGCTAAACAGACAGAATTCCTGTTCCTACAACTGTGCAGCTGAAAATACAGATCTAAACGTAATACTAATATTGTGAGAAAACTTTATTTGCATTACATTGTGTATCTATTAATTTATTTTATTTATTTATTTATTTATTTTTACAAGGAACGTGACCAAGAGAAGAATTTATATGAATTTTGGGGCTCAAATAAAAACAGGCACAAAAAATCCCAACCCAAACAACAAAACACCAGTTGAGATATTTTATATACTTTTTAATTTTATATACTTTATAATATGTAAATGGCTTGATTGTGAACTGTAACTTGACAGCACAACACTGTGTTATCATTTAACACAATAACATTTAGTTATTACCTCTTTAGGTCAACAGTGGTGACGTTGAAGACAACACCTTTCAGCCACAGGATCATGAAGAGGCGCTGGGAGAAAGGACAGTTTCCAATGCTCTCGCCATCACTCCCAGCCTGTAATATAGTTTAGAGCTGAGTACAAAACAGAATGTGGATTTGTAATACATAGAGATGAATGCTGACTTACTCTTCTTTTAATGCATGCAAGAATCCACTGACAGACACATTTACACACATACACTGATTCACACACTTGCACACAATGCATGCAGTCCCGATGAGCTATCAATTAATCAGCTCACTGGCACAGTGAAAGACGAAGAATCAGTGCTTTATAGTGTGAAGCGGGGGTTTTGCAGTTGGGCTTGTGTGTATATTATCGAAATAGAAAGTGTGTATGTTTGTGTACATGTGTTCTTCAGTGTGTGCGTGAATGCAAAGCTGCAACAGGACACTGTAACGAGACACCAGGTCTAACATGAATAATCCACGCTGCTTCCATTACATGCTTCACTGCCTGTTTGGACTTCTGGTCCCTACCTACTGCAGCAGTGTGTATCAAATCATACAACAGCGCTCACTGTCGAGCCAAGGAAAAAACATTTTTCAATCTTATTTTAAGAGACGAAAAGCTATTTTTGCCAAAAATGTACTGTATAAAGCTTATAGTGTTTCAAGAATTTTCTCATTGCTGTTGCCATCCATTCAGGTACAGTACAGAAGACACTGAAGCACTGAATGTTGCATAATATATACATTTTAATCAGTTGCAATGTGAAGAACCTGACTTATATGCCACTTAAATCATATTTTCATGTGATTTGTGGTAATTGGTAATTAAATGCTCACTGCATCTACTGTATACAGTAAGCTACCATTGTTTCCGATTCACTTCTCCAATCCAACCTCTTCTTCTATCAAAAGTCTGTAGACTTGCCTAACTGTGACTTTAGTGGTAAATTTCTCAGCGGCTGCAGAGAACACTCACAGCCAGTTAGGGAATACTCTTTTTTTCCTCACGACTGGTGGTTGCCAGATGGGTCTTTTTCAACTGATCCTATAGCAGCACCACGACTGACAACAAAAATGATTAACGCCAGTTAAAGTTAACGCCAAGTGGTCAATGGTCACAGTTCTGCAAAACCTAAATTAAAAAAATATTGGTAGATATATATATATCCGAATATATATTAGGATCAGAATTTTAATCTATAAAATTATTATTTTTTAAATCTACTAACAGTCTCAAAACAAGCTAAAAGTTAAACCAGATAGCTTAAAGTTTACTAGTTAGCCAGTCAGTTCATTTTAGCATAAAGACCAGAAATAAGGAAAACAGTTTGTCTGGATCTGTTAGAGATTCAGTTTGGATAGAAACTAATCAAACAAAATTAAGAAACAATGACACTCGGTTAATTCAAACAAATGAAATGAATATGTTAATTTGTGGACTCCAGAGATGATGAGAGATGTGCTAGCTTACATGGCTAGCTAATGTCTCCTTTTTTCTATTATTTTTAACTCACCATATATGTTCAAGTGTCCACAAAAATGGAATAAAGGAATAAAAAACAGCAAAGATAACAGTAAACATAATGAAAACTACTTGAAAGGTCATACATTCATGTTATGGTCTCATTTCAGAAAGGAAATGAATGTTCTCTTTACAGATATGTCAGTAACTTGTAAAGTGGGAGGAATTTGCCTTAGAGTCATCTCGTCATCACTAGTGATGACTCTTATTCTGAAGAATAGAAAAACAGACTTTTTGGAAAAAAAATACTAAAATATTTTTATTTCTGTTAGGTAGAAACAAATTCATGAACAGTTTAATAATTCATAATTTCCTTGACTGCTGATTGTGAGGACTGTATAATGTAAATATTCTGATTGTTTACTTTTAGAGTTATGTTTCGGGTTTGTAGTCGTCAACAACTTTGACCTCAGTTGGTTAAAGGGTTTCTGGCTGAAAGTGTATTACTTAGTATACGTAGCAAGGATACATGTTATGCATTAGCATATTACGCCACATGCCAACAGATATTGTGGCTTAACCTTCAGCTATTAAAAGCTGCTGCTCTCAATACTGAAAGGACCCCAGTAATAATTCAGTGGGAGAGAGCAAGAGAGAGATTGTTTGTGCACGTGGGTGTCAGGTTAACACACGGAAAATCAGCATGCTACAACAACAACAACATGGCATGCACACGCTTGAAGAAGCCTAACCCCCCACCTTACCAAACACAGTCGCTATTTAGGTGATAATAATGTGTGCATCCTGAACTTAAATGTTACTTGTCATACAAAAAACGAAAAACATTATCAACAACATGCAAACATATGCAAATGTGCAGCGACATTAGATTCAGAAGTGAGACAAGAAATGATCGAATATTAGTTTGATGTTAGTTTGTGATGTACACACACCAAAATGCACACATTTAGACCCCCACCTTGACAAACAGCTCAATATCAGGGTCCTTGTCCTCCTCGGTGGCAGTATCCGTCATGGTCAAGAAAGACTGGCTTTGTTTACGTGTTTTATTTCCACAGTGCAGTTGTATTTGTTTGTGTGTATATGTTAGTGAGCCAGCTCAGTTGTCAGCAGATTCTCCTCCGGCTCCATTCGGTAAAGTCAGCTCAGTCCCACAGCAGCTCTGTCAGAGTGTCAGCTGAGGATGAGTGACGAAGAGAGAGAGAGGGAAAGAAGGTGGAGGGGGTGGTGTGTGTGTTTGTAAGGGGTTCAGTTTTCTACCTGAGTTCTTAGCCGTGGGGGCGTGACATTGCTGAGCAAAAATAACCCCTCTGTGGAGGGGTGGGGGTGTTGGTACTAATGCAGTAAGTAGGGAAAGAACAGAGCAAAGGTGCCCTGGCCCCTCGCACCTCTTACAGCTTTGATGGACAACAGCTGGGTGATTCTGAATCACCACGAGTCATCGTTACCATCTCAGACTTGTGGTGACTCAGACATCACCACCCATAGGTCTCATGGTGTCTGTGTCAGCATGGCAGCAAGGTGATGTGCATGGTTTGTTTTGCACCCTATATCAGTGCTGTTCATCCCTGTGACCAAGATGTTTTAAAGGGACCAGAACATGATAACTAAATACAGTGTACAAAGTTGATGTAGAAAACATTAGGCATAATTTTATTTTATTTTTTGCCCTGTGATATAGCCCTTTAATACAGATGATATCACATTACAGTGGGACTGCACACAAGCTTAAACTTCTATTCCAGTTCAGTCCATTTATGTAGTGCCAAATGACAACAACAGTTGCATCAGTGCGCTTTATATTGTAAGGTAAAGATGTTACCATAATAGAAAGAAAACCACAACAATCAGATGACCCCCCCAACGAGCAATTTGGCAACAGTGGGAAGGAAAAACTCCATTTTAGCAGGAAGAAACCTAAGTCTTGTGAAGACATGATTTGCAAAGTAGTGAAGCAAGTATTTAGACCAGGGGTGGGCAACTCCAGGCCTCGAGGGCCGGTGTCCTGCAGGTTTTATCTGAGCAATCTGAGCAATGGGACTAGAAGGGCCTTGGTAAGGAAGGTGACCGAGAACCTGGTAATCATTTTGACAAAGCTCCAGGGTTTCTGGGTGGAGATAGGAGAAACTTTCTAGGAGGACAGCCATATCTGCTGGACTAATCAGGCCTGATGGCAGATGGTGAGACTTCTTGGTAAAAGGCACATGATAACCCGCCTAGAGTTTGCCAAAAGGCACCTGAAGGACTGTCATAGAAAAGACTGAACTCTTTGGACTAAATGCCAAAAGTCATGTCTGGAGGAAACTAGGCACTGCTCATAACCTGGCCATTACCATCCCTAAAGTGAAGCATGGTGGTGCTATGGGGATATTTTTAGGCAGCAGTGTAAAACGAAAAACATACAAAAAAATGATTTCTCATTTGATATATCTATAGAACTAAGAAGTGCAACCTGAATAACACCAGATGTATATTTTATCCAATTTAAGGAATTTTTACAATAATAGTTTTTTGGAATATTTCAGATTTTATTTTCAAACTAAATTATTTTTACATTCAGAACTTTTGTCACACCAGTGTATCCTGTTTTGAACATTTTGCATAAGTGGCAACCCTGTAAGGAGTTGGTACTTATGCACTTTACTACAAATAATAAAGTGTATACAATCATAATATACAGCTGACAAAAGAAAGACAAATATAATTGTATTTCTACACTAAGCATTATGTTCTTTACTATATGACTGGTCTCTCACAGAAAGTTTGTACATCATACAGGCTAATAAATCATTAAGGAAACACCCTCACACTGTTCTGCCAAATGAACATTTGTAATTAGTATGTAGAGTTTTCCAAATGACCTGTGGACATGTTCCAGGAGGTAAAAGATAAAGAGAACTTTATCCTGTTGCAATGATGTAGCCTTTAATATAGCTAATTACAGATGAGCATCTATATTATTATCATTATTATTATTTCACAAGGGAGTTTCCCCTGTCAGGAAATCAAACGTGAAGTCACTCACTGTGGTGACCCTTTGTGAATAAGGAAGCAACTGAAAATAGTTTCTTCTATTATTATTATTTTTATTAGTAGTAGTATTAGTATGCTAAAGTCTGTAACACAATAATTTCCAAAATAAAAAAGGAATAAATCATTTATCATGTTATTTTTATAAAGGTGCTCTTTAGAAATGAGTACCGAAAGTTTAGCTTACTAGCTGTCAAATCATAGCAACTGATGCTAGCTAGTCAGGTGTAAGTGAATGTAGAGTAACGCAGTGTACACAGTAACCAGAGTTAGCTAGCTGTGTCTGTATATTAAATGTGTATAGCTATCTAGTGACTAAAGTTTGGTTCCTAAGATAACGCAAGGCTAATGTAAGTGCAAGGTAATTTAGACAGCACCTTATCAGACCTTAGAAGTTATTCAGACTGCTTTGCAGGCAAAAGATAAAAGAAATAAAAGATTATAAAACTGAATCTAACCAGAGGTACGTGTTTCAGACGTTTTAATTTAGAGGTTTTAGAATGAGTCTAAGAGAAAGTGGCATCAAACGGATTAGTTTAAATGAATCAGGATATTCACAATGAGAGAGTTCGGAGAACCTGGGATTAGTTTGCGGGCTCTTTGTTGTTGCCTGGAGCAGACTTCGGCCTCTCTAATTCTGCTGCAGTGGCCTCTGGGTTATATTGCTATGTGCTGCTTTAGTGTCAATGTGTAACATTTATGATCCCTGTGTACTTGAGTGATAGTGGACTTTAGTGTGGAATGTGCTGATTGTGTAATAGCACATGTGTGGATTTAGAATGCTTATCGCTAATATAAGCTCGATAGACGAATGAAACGGACACACTCTCACTGTATACGTAACACACATGCACATACCACTCTTCACATGGTCATTTGACAGGGACCGTCCCCAACTATCCCGGCACTGACTCCGAACATTCCCGTCAGTTCAACTGAGCTTATATTTAGAATCAGAGTATCTCCCTCCAGCACACATCAACACATGTGCAGAGAAATGACTAAATAATACGGCCTATTAATAGAAGGATGTTTGTACTGAAGAGGCATAAGGTTCAAATGTGGCTTTATCACATTCCACATAAACTCACACACTATAGATAGTCACCGACCTTGTACACCACAATGATATGAACCTAATAAAGACTGAAATTTATGGATGCTATAAGTTAGTTCAAAGAAAGAGAAGACGGCGTGTATGTATGTGTGTGCGTGTCCTGTATATAATTAATTATAATGTCCTGTAAGGTATATTTTACATTCACCTGATTTGAGCCTTTCTCTTTCCTACCTTAACAAAGAGCACGACCTTTGGTCCATCTTTGTCAGGCACTGGCTTCTCCTTAGCTGTTTCCTTCTCAGAGGCTGATGAAGATGATGATGATGATGAGGATCTGCGTGATTTGTCCACCTCCATCTCCCAGTTTAACTCATTCAACGGCTCTACCTGTGTGTTCTCCTCTTCTTCTTCCTGTTTTTCTACTTTTTCTTCCTCTACCTCCTCCTCCCCGCTGGAACTCCCCTGCTCCACTTTCTCCTCTTCTTTCTCATGAGAAGAAGATGAAGACGATGAGGAGGATGAGGAAGAGGATGTGCTCCCTCTCCTCTCCTCTGCGGGAGGCTCAGGCGCCGGAATCGAAGGAGGAGCTGGTATTCTTCTTGGGGCCACTTCGGCGTTTTCATACTGAGGAGTCAGATGCGAAAGATCTTCGTATGGGGCCTCGTAGGGCAATTCATATTCACCTGACGACTGGTTCCGGTAGGTCGGCTCTGGGTTCTCGTACACATTCCCCTCAGAAAGATCCATCCTGGTTGGAGAAATCAAACAGAGATGGTGGAGCGTGCCAAGGTGTAAAGCAGAGTGAGGGCAATCGCAACAGGGCCTATCTTATCAGAAGATACGCCAATCAGGACTTTGGACAGGGATGGCCAGAAGGCTGGGCCAAGGGGAACTGCAGTAAGTCAGTATACTGCATGTTATTACTGCCTTAGTGTCTATAAACACAATATAAGCATGTTTAAAAAATATATATGAGGATCCATTCATTCCAAAATTACGTTCACACTGTCTATGTCAGCTGAACACATATCTAAACTGTACTTCAGATGCGGCAGAACTCTTTTGACAGATTGTAATTGTCCACGGTAATGTTGAGGTTATTATATTTTTTATGATTTGGAGAAAGCTAGGTAGGGAACGCAACAAGACAAATAAAGTAAAATTGCACAGAGAAATGTTTTGTTAGTTGGGTTATCAGCATGGACAATTTGTCATAATAGCTTTGTCACAACTGAAGCACAAGTCAAGGTTTAAAAGAACGTGTAGACACACATGGAAATCCAGCATATAAGAGAAAGAGCTTGTAGAATTCTAGAGAGCTTAGAAGTGAATATTTTGTATGACTGCCTGCCATAAATCAAAGTTGGCTAAAAAAGTTTCACACTCTAAAGCACAACCCAACAAGTGACGAAGTGCTGTTCAAAAATTGTATTAACACAAGGCTCTCTTAGTAAGGAGCAAAGACTGAAAAAAACGCCATGGTTTTTTCAGGACTCGGTTCAAGCAGCAGTTCTGTCAGGAAAGGAGAGAAAGGTCAGTGGAAGCTAGAGCTATTATGAGGATGGAGTGTCTTAACTGGATTAGGTTCTTCCTTGGTGTTTCTTGGGAGGCAATGGTGGGACAGGAATGGACTGACCAGGGCTCCACGGAGAGACCAGAGATGTGAAGGTTGACATGCAGCTGACTATGGCATATTGGTTTCCTCATTTCCTTTCTCCGAGGATGCAGACCAGCTTGGAAAGCCCAGGGAATGCTTATCCAATATTTAAGACTCAACTTTAAAAACAGAGAAGGCAAGATATAAGCACAGGTTAAATTGTTGAGCACACTGTGAGCTTACATGATCTTGATTACCATGTCGATCTGACAGACAGTTGTGTCTTGAGCTAGTCCTTGGTGAGGAGCGGCAACTGAGATGGCTCAAACATTGGGCAGACAATCCACTCATGGCCACCTGAAGGGAAAAACACTAGGAAGGCAACGAAGGAACCCTAAACCACCTCAAAACCATGGGACCAACTGTATTTTCGCAACACAACCTGACCTCTGTTAGCTTTTATGTAATTTCCTTAAGTAGTCTTTAGGAATAACTCTAAATGCTTCTTGGAGGACATTCCAAGGC